TCCCCAGCTCTCTGCAGCGAGACACCCTAAAGCTACGGAGCATATCCAGCTCCTTCTTTATTTCTAGCTGCTATCATCCAGTCAAGGACACGGGATGGGAAGAGCTGATTGAAAATAGAGGCAGATGAAGTTCAAGATGCACCTGAAATAACTGGACTGGGAAGTCAGAAATCCAGAAAAAAGGGGGAAGCACACAGGAGCCAGGCTTAAGATGCTCTTGGAGACCCAATCAGGGATGACTGGAGTTTCAAAGTAAGTCGTGATAGCCAGGTAGAACCCACTAAGTACAGTATGGGCTCACAGTAAAGGTGTTGAAACTAATAAGTAAAAGGATGAATAATTAGAAATGACAACAAGATGATAGCCATAGACAGAACAGAAAATACATAGAGAAATAATAGAAGATAGATATAGATGAAAATATATGGTAGAGATAGACATACATAGATGATAGACACATGGTAACTAGAGATGATAGATAAATAAATAGATGAGAGATGAGAGATAGATAGATAGATAGATAGATAGATAGATAGATAGATAGATAGATAGATAGATAGATAGATAGACAGATAGATAGATAGAATAAATGGGGAATGGAATGTTTACAGGATTTCAAAGTACCTCCCCCAGAACTAACTTGCTCCAAATATGTTGTGACAATAGCAAGAAGAGAAATTCATTTAGCCAAAATGAAATGGGAAAGCACAGGGAGAAAGGCAGACCCCAGAGGTTGGGAGTTACCATCAAGGAAGTCTACAGAGGGGCGGCCTAGGTACCAGTGGAAGGCCCCTGGGGCCAAGGAATGGAGCCCAGCATCCCAACAGTGAATCTGATTCCACGTCATCTACACTCACTCTTGTTCCCACTTCCGGGACCGTGGGTGCTAGCAGAGTGCTGTGTCCACCCACAAACACACGTTGGAGTGCAGGAATAAGAGCTCAGGCCGGGCTTCTCCCCTCAGCCCCCACCTCTCTTCACCTCAGTTTCCACATCTGTTAACTGGGAAGAGTCACTTTCCCTTTTCAGAGGGATGGAGAAGGGATGGGGGAGCCTCGGAGTGCCAGGCTATGTCACTCTTAGAGGGGTTGGCCTGGTTTCCCTTTTCCATACTTAGCGTGTAGAAAAGACATCTGTCCTCCCTCTGTCCAGGTCAGGCACTTTTGAGAAGAGCTTTGTTCCTGTGCCTTCGGAGGGAGCTAAGAGATGCTAGGGACCAAGCCAGAGGTCAGGATGCCTGAGCAACATTTGCCCTGTTCAGGCTGAACGCCTTGCTCATGGCCATGCAGCTACTGCCCATACAGTGCCCCAGCCTTGCCCCTATCACCAACACCCTCCCCTCCCTCCACTCTGCTTACTTCTTTACCCAGATTCTGCTACAGCCTGAAAGCTGGCCAATGTCTCCCCAGATGCCCATGTGTCAAAAGCTTGGTATCCGGGGTGGCATTAATGTAAGATGGTGGGCCCTTTAAGAGGAGCCAAGTGGGACATCCTTAGGTCATTGGAAGCATGGGCTACCTCTCTGGGAGCCCCGAGTTCTTGCAAAATGGGTGTCATAAGAGGAGCAAGGCTGGCCCCATGCATCCTTCCCCTCTGCTTCCTTGTTTTTAATTTTAGCCTCTAAAACTGAGCTACAGACTTCTTTTCTTCATTGATAGTTGATCTCTGGTATTATGGGAACAAAAGCTGACAAAACCAGATGACATCATCGATTTGTCGTCGTTGTTCTCTGGACCCTCCCTTGCTCTGCCTGGTCTTCTCATCAAAGCTAGGCAGCCTCCGGCTCCACACACATACAAGCCAGTGAGCGTGGAAAGAGAACAGCCACAAAACAATGAGAGTTGGGCCCTCTGCACAGCGGGGTCCACAGTTCTCTAAGAGAGAAGCACATTTCCCAGCAATCCTTACTACCCAGCAAACCCTGCAAAGAGCGCCCGGCCTTTCTTCTCTCCCTTCCCATCCCTGTCTATTTTCTCTGCATAAGACTATTCACATCTTGAAGCAAGCAGAACCAAGAAACTAGAAGCCTCAGGCCACCGGCCACCAACCACCCCCACCTAGAGGCCCCCATTATTACATCTAAACTGTCCGTACTCCGTGATAAAGGTCATTCCCTCCTCTGTGATCTGCAGCTAGTCCTTCAAGATCCCTGTCTCACATACCTCTTCCTGTGCTTCTGTTGAATCACATACATTTTCCCAGCTTTTCCCTTCCTTGACCCCTCTAGCCTCTTGGCTACTGCTCCATTTTTCCATTCCCCACTACTGAAAGAAAAGACATTTGTGGTCCCCACATCACAGCCTCCCCTAATCCTACTCTAACTGGATTCTGGCCCCTGCTACACTGAGTACTCATTGGTAACACCAATACCTACCAAGTGGCCAAATCCTGCTGCTGCTACTCTGGCATTACCCTGCCTCACCCCAGCATTCCCTGAGCTGCTCTCGAGGATTCACCAGCCTCCCAGGCAGCAGCTCCTCCACTTCTTTGCTGGCCCCGCCTCCCCTGCATAATGTCCGAGTGATGAGCAGCCCTTCAGTCCTATCTTTGTCTTGTTTCTGTACTCCTAAATAGATTGGAATGACATTAGGATGTTGATGGCCCCAAATGGAAGTCTCCAGTGACTCCTCCTGAAGCCCTAGATGCATAAATCCAAGTCTTCCTCAACATATCCACTTGGGTACCCAAAGTGGGGCACCTCAAGCCCTCCACAGGCAAAGGCAGCTCTTGGTTTCTCCAGCCACCCCTGTGAGCCCTCTGCCTGCAGACAGCCACCTTGAAATTTGGTTGTTCCCCACACTTCCTCTCCAGCCTGGCAGCATCAGGTCCTCTGGCTCTGCTTCTGAGGCTACAACACAGCTCATTTCTCTCTATACCCGCCTCCCCCCCACCCCCCTCCCACCATGGTCATCTTTCCTATCACACATCTCTCTCAGGGAGCCTCTGAAATGTGTGCTGGTGTTATTTGCATCTGCAACCCATCCCAATGTGCCCACCACCAGCAAAGGTTCCTCCCCTTCTTAAAACCCCTCTGAATGATCTCCTGGCCTGAAGAAAGAAATCTAACCTTGTCTGTGATTGGGCTTCGACCACTCAGGCCCCATCTCTTAGACTTCCCCTCTCTGTGCTGTGGCCATGGGCCTTTTCGTGCCCTGAGCATGCCCAGTTCAATGCCGCCCAAAGTTCTTGTCTGAACTTTAGGTACTTTGATTGAGTGTGGCCTCAAGAGTTCATGTGTAGGATCCTTGATTCCTGAGTGTGGTGGTGTTGGGAGATGAGGCCCAGCAGGATGGCGGGTGATGGGAACTGAGTACCAGCAAATGCATTAGTGTTACTCTCAGGGGAAGGATTAGTCATGCTGAGAGCAGGTTTTTGGCCTCCCTGCTCTCCCACATTTCCACTGTGAGCAGAAGCAATACAAAGCTCTTTCCAGAGACATCAGCCAGTCTGGGACTTCCAAGCATTCAGAATGGTGAGCCAAATTAAACATCTTTCCTTTATAAATTTTCCAGTCTCGGATATTCTATTATAGCCATGGAAAACAGACACTTGGTCAGCCTGCTTCCCTCACGTTTTTTCAAACTTGAACTTGAATGTGCTGCCTGAGAGGGCGTCTCACCTAATGTGAGTGGAAGGTCCCCAGCTCCCCTACCACCCAAATGATCAGAACATGGTCATCAGGAGCTTTTCTCTGACTGGTCACAGCTTGCTTTAGTATCTGTAATTCTGCTCCACACTGGAAGTAGATTCAGTTAGGTCAGGGACATCAGTTGTCATATTCCCGGCTCTGTCCCCAGAGCCAGGCTCATGATGACACGCACAGAAATTTGTGGGATGATTTATGCTCCTGTCTCCCATGGAGTCTGCAGCAAGTGGGTCAAGCAGCAAACAGCACAGGTGGCAGGCTGAGGCCACCCCGAAGTAGGTCTTTGACCTACTGCAAAGCATCGCGTAGTGGGAGGGCCCATAGTGTCTGGCTCTCAGACCCGCAGGGACATCTGACTCTCTACGGGGGAGCAGAAGAGTTCTGGGGTACAGCAGGAGGTGCCCAGGGTCCCAGTCTCCTGTTCCACCCTGCTCCCATGCCTGCCAGTGAACCCAGCTTACTTCTCTCAGGGATGCCCATCCTTCCAGGCTCCATGCTTCCCACCCTTTGGAACTGTGCATGGGAGCCTTGCCTTTTGGACTTGACCTTGCCCCAGCCACTGCACCCAGCTACCTTAGCCTCACTGTTCCTGCCAGCCCTGCCTCTGTTCCAACCCATTCCTCATAATGTGGCTTCTGGTCTACCTGCCACATTCCCAACTCCACCTCCACCCAGGACCAAGTATGCACCTAGAATGTCAAGTGCTCAATAGCCCGATGCTAAGCATGGGGCCTGGCAGCTATAGTCAGGCCTGATGATGGAGAAGAGTTATGAGGAGGTGGTCTGGTCAGGGACCCTTGCAGGTCTGAGCATACTGAAGATGGGCCACTGAGAGAGGGAGGCTGGGAATGTCACAGATCACAGGAAGGGAAGGGAACACGTCTCTCCTCGTGATCAGAGTCCAACCTGAGCAAGACCTCACTCCCCAGCACAGCTTGATGAGCATACCCCATCAATACCAGTGCTTGTGGCAGACAATCTGGCCAATACCCCCGGTCAGGTGACAGAAGAGGATTCAGGAGAGTATGGAGAATGCAGAAGAGGAAGAACATCAGTTGCTACCTTACAGACTTGACAGCCTGCAGCTGGGCCCAGCAGAGAGCATGATGACCAGGACTCAGTCACAGACAGGGCTGGCTGATGGCTAGGGTGGGACAGACTTCATCTGACTAGCAGGACAGAGGAATGTCACACTCCCGGGCCACAGTTCTGTGAGTGGTTGTTTCAGCACAAGCTGTACCTCCCCCAAACCGCATGTCCCGTGCTCTCCCCTCCTGTGCCCACCTATGCCACCATAACCAGAAAATGCAAGCCCCTATCCCACCGCGAGGAAAGACTCAGAGGTGGGCCTTACCATTGTCCAGGTGGTTGGCCTTAATGATCTTCTCCGAGTAGTCAGAAATACTGGAACATTCGATCTAGAAAATACACAGAACAAAAGAGACAGGGATTTAAAAGCACCACTGCCTGCTAAACTCAGGACCTTCAAAGTCCCCAAAGGCCTATGTGTTGAAGGCTGGGAAAAGTCCCAGCACACGGCTCTATGGAAAGCAAAGGGACCAAGCAAGAGGAAGTTAGGTCATTGGAGACGGATATGGAGACCTCAGCTCCTCCTCTTCTTCCTCTCTCTGCTTTCTAGCCTCCCCGAGGGAAATGGCTTTGCTTTACCAAATGCACCTACAATAATCAGCTGCCTCACTGCAGGCCTGGAACAACACAGCCAACAGCCATGTACCAGACCTCTGAAACTGGGTCAAAATCAACCTCTCCATCCTTGGAGTGGATATTCTCAGGGATTTTGTTGTAATAATGATAATCTGACATAGCACCCAGAACCAGCTGAATAGATGGGAAAGTTAAGGTTCAGAGAGGTGCATAGTCTGAGACAATAGATTTGTGGTAGCTAGAAAGCCAAGATCTGGCCCTCTAATTGGGTGGCTCTTGTCATTTCACTAAATTGACCACTTTGCCTAGAGAGCAAAACCCAGCTGTGGAGACTCTGTTTCTGTGCTGGAGTCTAAAGAGTGGCTGACTGACCTCACCATCCTGCAGGAAGAGGATGGGAGAAGTCAGAACAGACTAAGCTCCTGAGCAGGGGTGGAAGGCAGCGCTGGGCCAGAGTTACCATGAGCGTCTCTCTACATCCCATCACTAAGTCCTGCCACAGTCAGGTGGGCACATATGTGAACAGAAATGTCAGGACAGCTCTTGGGACTGGTCTTAAGTCCCCTCTACCAAGGCACACACACAAAGGTTAACTCTGAACCCTTGAGCTGATTTTGGTAAGTGTTCTTTAAAGGCCCTGTGGTGATGGTGCAGTCCTCAACCTGTTGGTGCTACCGGCACTGGTGGACCCTTTAAGAGGTGGAGCTTTGTGGGAGGAGGTTAGGTCATTGGATGCATGTCATTGGATGCATGTCCTTGGATGTGGTCTTAGGATCATAAGCCCTTCCTCTTCTTTCCTTTCTTTTCCTACCAGGAAGTGAGGCCTTCCTTTATCCCAATGCTCTCACGGAACTGTGATGGCTCATCTCGGGCCCAAACCGAGGAACCAAGTGACCATGAAATGGAACCTTGAAAACCATAAGCCAAAACAAAACCTTCCATCTTTTGAAACTGATTGTTTCAGGTATTTTCTTAGAGTAACTAAAGCTGACTCACAATGCCCTTCTCTGAACGCTTCCTTTGACAGAATCTCTTCGCTTCTGTATGAAAGTCTTTTCAGGATCCCCAAATCTCTAAGAAAGGGCACAAGTATTTGAGAAATAAATTGACCATCAGCTAAGAGCAGGGCTTCATGGGAAAGGTTGGAGGCCAAGACCCATTGCAGGGTCTAAAAGCTTAGGATGTGTCGTCAGAAGGTGCTGGAGCAGAAGGGCATTAATGGAGACCTATCTGCCACTTTACCTGACTCTCTGACAAAGAGGGCTTAGGCTGAGGCCTGGGTCTCGGGAAGGGTCAGTTCTCTTGAGAAGTTATTGCAAGGGGTCACTGATGGCCTGGTCTAATGTCCACCTTTGGGACTGGAAAGGAAATAACTAAGGGCACAGATGCCACTGGCTGTGCTCTGTCCCAGGAGCACCCACCCTTCCTTGGTCGTCAGGCCCTTGGCTTTCAGGTTCCATTCCTCATGAGCATTGTTCCTGTCTTCTCCTCCTTCTTGCCTCCCTGTCACCCCAATACATGTGGCTCCTGAAGTTAGCACTGAAGAACACAGCAGCTCTAGCTAGGTAGCTGGCCACATCCCAAGGGCCTCCCCAGCCTCTTGCAACAGGCTGTGGTCCCTTTCAGGTGGTTGGATGAGGGTGAGCTGAGTCCAGGCACATCAAGCACAGAGGTCACCTGCTGTGGGGAACCCACTGGCCAGACTGGATACTTGAGCTCCTCATCTTCCTTTTCGGCTATCACCCTTTCCTTCTCTTCCCTCTGTTTCTACTCTCCCTGCTTGCTCCGTTCTTCTTTACCTTCTCCTTCATTTTCTTTCCTCTAGCTTGCCTCCAAGTCTCTCTAGCTTCTGTTTCTCATGTCACATCACCTTCCTTCTGTGTTTCTGCCTCTATTTCCTCTCCTTGACCATGGCTTCTGCTATCCCCCACAACCTCACCCTCCCCAGTGGAGTGGACTGTGGACCAAGGGGAAGCCTGAAACAGGAACAATGGAAGTGAGCTAATGGGAAAGAAGCTGGCTAAACCTGGCCGGGCCAGAGCCGCTGATGACAGGCAGGCTATGCCAAGTGACCACTGAGAGGCACCAAGCAGGAGCCCCGGGAGCAACTCTGCTGTCGTTCCTGATGACTCAGGAACCAGAGACAGGACACGGCTCTCTCCTGCTCAGCCTGACACCAATCTAGGCCATAGCCCTTGAAGGGCAGCGTAGGATCACCAGATGGCCTCAAGGCCATTGAGATCCATGACATCAGGCTTCCATGCTGATGAGGTTTGAGAGAAGGAAGCCTGAAGCAAGGAAGTTTCTTAGCAGTGATGGTGATGGTGCTGCTCTTGATAGCAATGGTGGTGACGAAGGTGATGGTGATGATAGTGATGGTGGTGATGGTGGATGATGAAGATGATAGTGATGGTGGTGATAGTGGATGATGATGGTGATGATAGTGATGGTGGTGATAGTGGATGATGATGATGGTGATGATAGTGATGGTGGTGATGGTGGATGATGATGATGGTGTATGATGATTATGGTGATGATGGTGATGGTAGTGATGGTGGATGATGATGGTGATGATAGTGATGATGGTGATGGTGGATGATGATGATGTATGATGATGGTGATGATGATGATGATGATGGTGATGATAGTGATAATGGTGATGGTGTATGATGATGAAGATGATGATGATAGTGATGGTGATGATGGTGTATGATGATGATGGTTATGGTGATGATAGTGATGGTGATGATGGTGAATGATGATGATGATGGTGATGGTGATAGTAGTGATGGTATTAGAACGGTACTGTGATTGATTTTCTCTGTTCCTCTAGCAAGAGAGATGAACTGGGACTGGGGAGGTGGCTTGGTGATACAGCAGTTGCCTAATATGCTCGGTGCTCTGGGTTCCATCCCCAGCACAACACAAAAATAGAAAAAGAGATGGTAGACCAGGGTCTACCATCTTTGTAGGAAGATCCAGAGAAAGCAAGAGGCAGGGACCGCTCTGCAGAAGCCAACACGAGGGAGGGTGACATGCTTACCCCGAACACCTTCTTGGCCCCTGCTTTGGCAGCAAACATGGAGAGGATCCCTGTGCCACTCCCGACATCCAGCACCACTTTGTCCTTGAACACATGCTTATTATGGTACATGGAGTTCCGGTACGTGAGGGTCCTCACCTCATCCTTCAGCATTTCCTGCAGTGGAAGGAAAAGAAGGTTATAGTCGGGGGACTCAGGACATCTGGGAGCACATCTGGGTCACTGGAGCACATCTGCATCACAGGCAACTGAGTCATCCCAGTAACATCTTCTGGAACCACTATGACATCACTGGGTAGTTAATGAGGATACTGTAGTACATGCAGGACACATGCCTCATTCCAAACTTAGCCTGCTTTAAAGGTCTACTTGAAAGATAGCTGAGAGGTATAAAAAAGGAGTTTGTGTCCAAACCTGCTCCAGTCTGTCTAAAACCAAAAGGAAAGATCAGAATAGCACAGCACGAGAGACTCAAGAAGGAATCATCAAACTGATGTCCTCCCTAAGCTTACACCAACTCTGTCTGCTCACCACCCTTCACATCTTAGCAATTTAGTATCTTTTGTAATTTTACTTGTAGCAATTTCAGTGCATAGGAATCCACAACACTGTGGTTTTAATTGTATGTCCTGTTTGACTCCTGATAGACATCACATTTTCAGGGTACTCACTGGTTGGTTCATTCTCTCTCTCTCTCTCTCTCTCTCTCTCTCTCTCTCTCTCTCTCTGTTTCTCTCTCTCTCTTCCTTTCCCTTCCTCCCTCTTAATCAGTCTAGGTTAGTGTTATTAATTTAATTAGTCTGAAACCTAAATTTTAAGCTACATACAGCAAACTTACAGCCACATTATGCTGAATGGGGAAACCGAAAAACTTTCCCTCTAAAACTGGAGACTAAGACAAGAATGACCACTTCCTTCACACTAAATCAGTACGATACTTACATTCTTAACTAGAGTAGCAAGAAGAGAGAAAAAAATAAAAGGGAACAGAGACGAGAAGGAAGAAGTCAGGTGGCTCCCTTTTACAGAAGCCTTGATCCTGTTATTGAAAGACACTAAAGACTCCTAAAAACCTATCTCTGACAAACACTTTCAGAGTCTAAAATCAATGTGCAGAAATCTGTAGCTTTTCTAGACACCAATAATAAATATGAAATGCAGAAAACAATCTCATTCACAATAGCCTTTAAAAACTTAAATGTGTAGGAATGAGCCTGACACCAGAAGTGAAAGACAGCTGTAACAAAAACTATAAAACACTGGGAAGAAACTCAGGAAAATACCAGAAAATGAGAATTTTCTCATGGGATTACTGCTGTGAAAATGGCCACATTAAAGTAACCAGCAAATAAAATACAAGCCCCATTAAAACTCCGATGACATTCAAAGAACCAAGAAAAGCAAACCTAAGGTCCCCAGGGCAGCACAAGAGATTAGAACACAAAGTAATCTTGAATGAAAAGGTCGATGCTGCAGGGACTGCATGCCTGGTCTCAAGTTACACCCAGAGGAAAGTGACAAAAACAGCCTGGTGCTGGTGCAGAAGCCACACAGACCTAAGGAATGGAATAGAGAATGCAGAAATCCACAAAGCTCCATAAACCAAAGAAAAGTGTATGTGGGAGAAAAGACAGCTTTTTCAATGAATAGTGCTAGGAAAACTGGATAATCCCATGCAGATGAATGTAACTAGATCCCTATCTCTCACCTTGTACAAAATCCAACTTAAAAATGGGTCAAAGATCTTGATGTGCAAGACCTGAGACTTGGAAAAGGAACACTTAATGATATAGACACAGGCAAGGACTTTCTGAACTGGGGTTTAGTAACTCAGGAACAATAACAAAAATGGACAAATGGGATTGTGTGAAATTAAAAGGCTTCTCCCAGCCAAGGAAGCAGCAGAGTGAGAGGAAATGTTTTCCAGCTATACATCTGGCATGAAATTAATATTCAGAATATATAAATAGCTACAAAAACCAAGAGAACAAATAATCCAATCAATAAATGGGCAAATGAACTGAACAGATACTTCTCAAAGAAGAAAGACAAAATGTCCAATGAATTCAAGGCCAAAAAAAAAAATTAACATTTTTAGTCATCAGGGAAATGCAAATTAAAATTATGTTCAGATTCTCTCACCCCAATCAGAATAGCTATTGTCAAAAAAGAAAACAAAACAAAACACAGTGCTGGTGGGGGTGTGAAGAACCCGTTGGTGGGAATGTAAAGCAGTGCTGTTGTATAGTCATCAGCGGGGAGATTCCTTCAACACTGCAAGTAAAACTTCCATAGGATCCCGCCACCCCCTCCTCAGCACCCACCTACAGGATGGGCCATACTCACGCACAAATAAGAAAGCACACCGCCTGAGGGAAACCGGAAGGATCATCGTGCTAAGCGAAATAAGCCAGACTCAGGACAACATATATGTTTTCTTTCATATGCAGGACCCAGTTGTTTATAAAGATGTAAAAGAAGAAAAGGTGTGGTTTGGGAAGATCAAGGGGCACAAAAATAGGTGACTGGGGTAAATAAGGTTAAAATGAACAACATTCACTGTGAAACGATGAAATCGGTTGCTTTATACAGCTAATGTGCACTACTAAATTCAAAACATTGGGCTCTGATGGTTTCGCTATCATTTGATTTCTATTTAGTTGACCTTCTCTCATCTGTATCATTTCCTTTCTTTGACTTGAGTTTCATGTGCTCTTATTTCTCTAGCTTTGCAAGGTAGAAGCTCTGCTCTTGGGTTTTGGTGTTTGTGTTTTTGCTTTTGTCCCTAATAGAAGCATTTAAAGCTATAGATTTCCTTCTAAATCAGTGGTTCTCAACCTTCCCAATGCTGTGACCATTTAATACAGTTCCTCGTGTTGTGGTGACCCCCAAGCACAAAAATTATTTTGTTGCTACTTCATAACTATAATTTTGCTACTGTTATGAAATGTAATGTAAACAGCTAATATGCAGGGTAGCTGATATGTGACCCCCACCCCAAAGGAGTCATGACCCACAGGCTGAGAACTATTGTAAATACTACTTAAACTGCAGCCCACAAATTTTGATGTGTTGGTCTCTTAGTTACAGTCATGTAGTCTGGAATCCTGTCTAATTTCACTCATGTTTTCTTTTCGGGTACATGGGTTATAAAGAAGAATAGTTTAATTTCCAACCTTTTTGAGGATTTTCTGGATAAATTACTTTAGGCTTTTAATTTTGATTGTTCCAGTGCTGGGATTGACTCTAGGGTCTCACACAGCTTAGATTACTACCCTAACACTGGCTTTTTCTAGTCCCTTTCCTCCCGACCCTTTATCATGAGGTAAGATCTCACCAGCTTGTGTAAATTGACCTGGGACTCACTGTAGCCCAGGCTGGCCTTGAACTTTCAATCCTCCTGCCTGAGCCTCGTGAGTAGCTACGATGTTAGGTGGAAGCCTCTAGGCCTGGCTCTAATTCACTTTAGTGAGCACACTGTGTGGTTTCAGTCTTTTGCAGTTCATTGAGATTTATTGAATGACAGTGATGTTTGGATTCTAAGGGTCTCCAGAGCCTCCTGTGTTGAAGGTTGGTCCCTAGCCTGTGGTGCTAGAGGAGGCCATGGAGCCTTTAATAGGTGGAGCCTAGTATAAGGAATTTGGGTCATCAAGGGTGTCCCTGCAAGGGACAATTTGGAACTTCTATCCCTTCCTAGTTCTTTACTTCCAGGCCACTCTGAGTCCAGCATCTAGCCCACCATGCACTCCCTACCATGATTAATTACTGCCTCTTCCTTGGAGGCCCACATTCTTAGACCACAAATCTGTGATAGAACCCCTAAATCTGAGCTCAAATCAATCTTTCCTCTTCTAAGTTGATTATCATTTTGTCATAGTGACGGAAAGCTAATAAACCCTCCACAAGATCTATCTCAATGACTATTTACCACACTGCTTGAAAAGCTTGCACCTCTGCAGCTTGGGGATGCAATACTCCATAAGTGACAAGTTAGGCCAGATTGTTTGTGGAATGCAAACTACCTCTATCCTCACTGGTTTTTAAATCTATTTGTGTTCTCCATTACCAAAGAGAAAAGACTACTGCTATGTATATCACTCTGTATAAATAAAATACTGATTGGCCAGTAGCCAAGCAGGAAGTATAGGCAGGACAAACAGAGAAGAGACTTGTGGGAAGAGGAAGGCTGAGTGAGGAGATGCCAGCCACTGTCCAGGGAGCAGCATGTAACAGGCACACAGGTAAAGCCACAGAATATGTGGCAACATCTAGATTAACAGAAATGGGCTGAGTTTAAGTATAAGAGCTAGTTAATGGTAGGCCTGAGCTAATGGCCAAGCAATTTTAAATAATATTAATCTCTGTGTGTTTACTTGGGTCCAAGCGGCCAGCCACAGGGCCGCAGGAGGTGAACAGAACCAGGAAAACTTTAGCTACAAACTACAACCAGCCATTTGTCCCTGCATCTGTTTAGTCCTACTGGTTGCCATCCATGCTTTCAGAGCTCTGTGCACAGGTACTGTGGTAATGTGTCCCCTTGGCCAGGCTGTACAGCTTCTCTTAGGAGTCTTTCTCTTGTGTTTCTAGTTATAGTAGATCAAAGAGAAGATTCTCTTGAGACATGGAAGGCAGAAAGGAATCAAGAACCACTCTGAAGGCCAACTGCCACTTCCTCTGCTGCCCCAGGGCTGGTGGCTTCAATGTTATAAGGTGGCGAGGAGGTGGGGGTGGGTGGGAGGAGCGGTACTTGGACTGAGTTCCTATTCTGCATTTTACTTTGAGGATGAGCTGAAGCCTCTCTCTTCAGGAGATTCCTAGATCCCAGTGCCACAAGCATGCAAGGCCCTATCCCCAGAATAGGCAAGGGCATGTTAGACAAGCTCAGTAAATCAGAAGACAATACACGGAGCATACGACCATTGCACACAGACGTGGGAGCCTCAACCGCTGCACCCACACCACACCTCCGCTGTTGCTAAGCTCTCTGACCCAGCCCATCACCAAGTGTCCGGTGCCTCAGCTTCCTCGTCTGTGAAGTAATGCTGTAAGAGCACTACTTCTAGGGCTGTTGTGATGATTAAGCAAATGCAGAAAGTTTCACAAAAGTGTCAGTGCTAGGCTAACGCGAGACAGTCAGGTCTCCCAGCAATGTACCTAGAAGAATCTGTAGAGGGTATTCAGCACACAAGTGCTGGCCAGCGGTCATGCCACACAGGCAGGGATGATGTCTTCCAGGCTGATGTCTCAGACCCACCTCTGACCAGCAGACAGATGTTGAGATTCAGGCTGGCTCTTGGGGACCTGGAGGCTGTCCTCTCCTTTGAAGGCCCCAGGAAGCCACTCTGGGTTCTGCTGGAAGATCATAGTCACTTTTTCCTGGCCCTGTCCTCTTGAGTCCTCTCTAAGTGAAGCCGTGGACGCAAGGAACATAAAGGTCCAAAACCACCTTTCACTTAGCCCTCTTCCTATCGTCCATCTTGTCTATATTTACAGAATAGCCATGTTCTGTCCATCCACCCACACTGTGATTTAGCCACGCTCTCTGACCACCATTGTTCCAGTGTCCTATTGATGGCCTGGGGACCACTGCACAGTCAGCTTGCCCACTCTGGGGATCTGAGGGTCCTGCCTAGAATGTCCAGGAAGAGCTTCTTGTGAGCTTTCCAGTGATGAGCAGATCCCTGCTGCTAAGTCACAAGAGGTGAGAAAGCATCTCTACACAGAGCACCTCCATTCAGCTCATCCCTGTCCATACCTCCTTTCATATTCAGTGATCCTGGAGACCAAGGAAAGAATGGAGGCCAATCACAGGGGTGAAGGCCACCCATCTAGTCATACCTGTATTAAAAGACCTGTATGTTACCCTAGCTGGATCTGGAGATGGCCTATAACAAGAGGGATTGAAGATAGATGTGCAGAAGCACTTCCCCATGGGACAGTTGCTAAGGCTGTGGGGTAGAGGTGTCATCTGTGACTTACAGACCCGTTCATCTGCACTATGTCACATATAAGTTTGGGTTTTTGTTACAACACCTGACTGAGGGTACCTGGTCTGGTATTCAGTTGGTAGCTTTCTCCCAAGCAGAGTCAGGTCAATCTCCCACCTCCCACATGTTGGTCATGATGGTGTTCCCCATTGACAAGCTGGGCAAAACCAGGCATGGCAGCTCAATCTGCAATCCCAGCACTTGGAGGGGCTGAGGCAAGAGGGCTACCACAAGTTCAAAGCCAACCTGGCTACATAGTGAGACCATGTCTCAAAATGCGCGCGCGCGCGCGCGCGCGCGCGCGCACACACACACACACACACACACACACACATGCACACCTGAACTCACTCAAAGCCTTGACAATGTGCAATCCTCAGGTCACAGTGAGGGGTTGTCAAGTACTGAAAGAATTGGAGACTGAAAATAGCCCAGGAAAGCTGCGCTGTGGGCCCGGAATTGGCCCCGGAACTCAGACGGAGGCTTCCTGGGGTCAGTGTGGAGATACAGGGAAGGCTCTTCTCAGTGTGCTCGGGGCTGGTTTCCAGCGCGGGAGCTTTAGGCAGGCCAAGCCATTCAGGGTCCTGGATATAGTTCCCAAGTGTGGTGGTTTGAATGAGGATGGCCCTACAGGTTCATCTATTTGAATGTTTGATTCCCAGTTGGTGGAGTGTTTAGGAAGATTTAGGAAATGTGGCCTTGTGGGAGGAGATGTATCACTGGGGGTGGACTTTGAGATTTCAAAAACTCATGCCAGGCCCGGGCTCATGATTCTCTCTCTCTCTCTCTCTCTCTCTCTCTCTCTCTCTCTCTCTCTCT